TTTATTTACTTCCAAACAATGACCAGAACCTATTTGCGCTGTGAAATGATGACGGTGGTCATAAAAAATTGACTTTATTTACCGTACACCGAGTCGCAGAAAAATAACAAGACGAAAGACGCCATTTTGTATTCCAGAGTTTATAGCAAATTACGCGAGACCTATAATTTTGTACCACGTGACCGAAATCAGTAGATAAATTGCGTTTAAATTATGCAACTAGTTTCTATTATTAAACAAAAATCATACAATTATAAATACTGTATGTGATTGCTTTCTTGGAACAATTAGAATAACGGGAAGAGTGAATTTTATTCTTCCACCACTGTATCACATGACCGCCAAACGAGATTACATTTATTCTGTGCTAGGGAGTGTGGGATGTCAATGGCTGCCGTTTTCTCGTAATTTGCTTGGTTTCCGCGGTAATTGTAAAATATCACAAATTATTGCTTATTTATAAACACAAATTGCAAACAAAAGTTTGTATGTTATTCATCCAGCAATTAATTCACAATAAAGGTACGTCACACCATAGTAATCGAAAGCAAAAGCGATTTAATTTACGTATGCCAGATTTTTGTTTTTAAACTGTGATAGATCCCGTAGCTCTATGTTCGACGTACAACTACAAAATTAAAAAAAAGACGTCCAAATGAAATTGTTAGGGCGAAATTCGATTGTAGGTCGCACCAAAGAGCTACGGAACCGCAGCTAACCCAAGACCCAAATACAATCCAGTTTTTTGATGAAGCCGGCATCAAATTGAGTAAGGATTTGAACCCTCGCTACGGACACGCTCTAATTGGTGAACGAGCAGTCGAAATTCAACGGTATATGAAGACACCCACTGTGACTTTACATTTAATGGTTAGCTTGGAAGGAATTAGTTATGCTAAAATTATACATCAAAATACGGACACGGTGCAGTTCATTACGATTCGTAAAGTAACAGTCTTTTATGTCCCGTAGGGATTCCCTGTAAAAAGTCCTGTAGGTCTTCCGCTGTTAAGCGTGCCCGTAAACTGGTATATCCAGCCCTTCGTAAGGCAGAAACGTACTTTAAAAGTTCGGAGTCAATATTTTGGAGCCATGATTCCAGTTGATTTTCTCTGATTGGCGTTTGAAACGGCCTTAAATCTCTGCTAAACTTCGTTTTGTCTGGCACCGCACGTGAACAGGTTGTTTTGAAGCAGTGGGCGTGGTTTATCATTTTTATTTTGGCGCGTCAACCTTTTCAGTTTGGCGCGTCGATGTTTTCGTTTGACAAGTTAGCTTACAGCTAGTCAATTGATTGGGCCACGCGCACCGGTGGCGGCGTCTTTTTTGTTACGTTTTGAACACTTGCTTGACTTCCGCACTGTATACTGTACACCCAGCGACACCGATGCCAGCTGACTGTGATTGGCCTCGACTTTCTGTCGATCGGAAACGCAAAGGAGATACGACTCGTTTTTCATAGACTCAGGTCGTTTAGATCGGACGGTTACTTTTGTTTCAGGTTCGATAGCATTTAGTGTTCATTTCTATACAATATAAAATCATATCGATGCTGTTGGCGGCGACGGCTGACAGATTGTTTTGGTTCTGTGGCCGGCTCTCATGGCACGGGCAACTGACATTAGCTGACTTTTTTTTACTATTCTGACGTGTTCTGGGCTGTATCATGGAGCTCCATGGCTGTATGTAACAGTTTAAATAGTTAATTATATTATACACTGGACTTAGATCTAGCT